ATAGTTCACAACTCACGGCTGTGGTTCTCTGACTTCTTTCAAGCTACAACTCAAAGTAATCGGAAAAGCACCAGAGGCATCTTAATTGAAATAAATTGATTATCTTTTTTTTTCCCCTCTCTGTTTTGAATTATTCTTTTAAACTAGGGATAAGGTGCGCCCAGCACCCCGAAGTATTTTCCCAGGTACGTCCAGTGTCCTAAACTAATTTTCGGTGCATCTAGTGTCGCAAACTAATTAAAACGGTGCGTCCATATCCCAGGCTAATAGAAATGTTATCTTTGACCGTTAGCCTGCTGACTCAGCAAAAATTTGACCGAGATATCCTACCTGGCAGACATGTGGCAGACATGTGTCATCTGATGTGTATTATTATTATGTCTGAAAAATTATTTATTTTCCCTTCCAGCAACGCTATCATCCGCCCGTTTTAACACTTCAGCTTGAAAAACAAAGAAAGAACACCATCCAGAGCAATCCTCGCAGCGAAGTTAGGGTTCAATCCTCACTCCCATTTGTCGCCGGTGGCTGAGCTAATCGATTGAGGTGAGCTAAGATTATACCTCGCTAGCTAGCGAACGAACCTGGAGCGTTCGATCGATTCTAAGTAAGAGAGGAAAAAAGGGAGCGTTGAAACATAAGACCCCATTCGTCGGTGGCGAGGAACCTGGAGGTTCCGATTAAGAACAAGAAAGGGAAAAAAGTTAGAGTTTAAACTTGTTACCCAACTGTCGCTGGCGAAGCTGGATGTCTCAACCAATTCAGAGTAGGAGAGGAAAAAGGTGAGCATTGAAACCTTCTACCCCCTATCGCTGGCGAACCTGGTTTTATATTCCTGTTCTATTCTCCTTTGTCGGTGGCCTCATCGTCCTTAAAGCATTCTCCAATGGGTGAATCAAATTGTGATTCAACGGTGGCGACAAGCAGGAGAAGGATTTCTTTGGTCAGGCAAGTTAAAGTGGAGACAGAGTATGAAGGGCCGAAAAGGTTTTGTCACTGTGGTGCATTGGCTCCTAGATGGACGGCTTGGAGCAAGAAGAACCCTGGTAGAAGATTTTATGGGTGCCGAAAATACAACCAGGTAAGTTAAGCTGAATCCGTTAGCCATTTTTTGAGAGAAATGTTGTTCTCATATTTGTTTAGTTCATATCGTTGAAGCTTGTTGGGGTCATATCATTGCTGCTATAGTGCTATTAATAATCATATTTGTTTAGTTCATATTGAGAATGTAGTGATTTATCCGAAATAAATTGATTCTGTGTATATTCAGCTAGATGACTTGTTGAACCTGTCAAGGAGGAGGATGCGGTTATTTCAGCTGGCATGATAATGAAATGGGTCAGAGATCAACTAAAGTGATCTCTGAGTTATTAAGTCAGATAGACTCATTGTATGATGAGAATTTGAGGCTAAAAAGAAGACTTGAGGGTGATGGGCTTAGTGCAGAGATGTGCCGGATATACCAAGAATTGAACAAGATGGAGAGAAGGCATGCCAAGTTTGTAGCTACAGCTGAAAGTGGGAGAAAGAAGATGAAAATATTAGAACTTGCTTTGTTGTTGTCTTGGTTTTGTTTTATTTATTTTTTCCTTTGAAGGTAGTTATGATGGGAATGTAAATTTGTGTTCTGCGATGGAACAAGCACTGAACCATGATATTGTCCTAAAGTGTTTGAATGGAACAAATGCTTCATTGTGTTTGGTTTATTATTGCTTTATATGGTAGCTGAATAAGGTCCTATGTTCGAATACTGAATGATGTGGGAAAGCTTGTCCTTGACAAGTCTTGTTCTTCTTGCTAAAGAGATAATTCAAGAGATGATACAAAACGAGATGTCATTATTTTGTGAACTGATGATTTTGAGTTCGATTTGATCACTTAAATACGAGGCTTTGAGTTTGATTTGTATGAGAATGTTAAAAACATCCTAAGAAGACGAGGCATTTCTAGTTGGGCTAGAGATTGACTTGAAGATGCAACCATGGTGAATACTTTACGTGGAGGCTCGGATTGGTTGGAACAAACTTCTCTGTCATCATTTTTAGTTTATTCTGTCTTCTTTTAATTCTTAGGAAAATCTTGTAATATAAGTCATTGCCCATTGCGCATACACACACGTTACATTGTGAGAATTGTTTTGCATATAATGGATGAAAAAAACAGAGTGAGAGATGAAATAAGATTTACGGGGACAATAGGGAATTATATACACCTTTCTCTTTGTCATGTAATGGTTGGAACTTGGAAGATTCCTGAAAAGAATACTAAAAATTATTTTTATTCTCATAGGCACAGACCACATTGTTCTAAGTAGAAACAATGTTCTTCTAAGTAGAAACAAAATTTGAAGAAGCATTCACAATCCACTTGGCTATGCCCTCTATTAACTAAATAACTATCATACTTCATACTTCATAGAACTATACTAAAAACCATATCATTAAATTAAGCAAAAGACTTATATATTAATACAAAATGAAGAGGTTGTGATAATGCCATAATCATTTACAAAGGTGAGGACGTTTGGCAACAAAATATGCAAGTATTGGAAACAAAATATTTTGATTTACATGTAGTATTAGCCTTCAAAACAAAATAGTACACAAAAGGTGTACATGATATCATTGTTTCTTTGCCTTCAACTCAGCTATCTTTTTCCTTCGCTGTGCTTCAAGTTGTGATGTAGTGAGGCTTGGTTGGCCCACCCATCTCAGACCCGGTGGTTTGAACGGAAGGTTAGTCGGACTTGAGACAGTGGCCCCATCACCAATGAATGAAATTCTCCTCTCTTCACCATTTAAACTTTGAAGATTGCACATTCTCATGTCCCTTTCATTCGGGATAAGAAACCGTATGACAGGATCAACATCATGCTCTATGTCGTCTCCAGCATTCCCTTCTTCAATGACAACTTCACCTTGCATTCCAGGCTGTTATACAAATAGCCAGAGAACAAAACAAAACAAGCAAGTTAGCAGAAATGTATATATGGTATTGAATGTCATTAACCCAAGGAGGAATGTAAAGACAAGTTACAAGGAAACAAACCATAGTCTTTAAGTCTAAGTAACTTACATTGTACACAACCCTTCCAGTTTCTACATCCAATGAAATTCCCATGCCACAGTCAACTCTCTTCTTGTTGGCACTCCTCCTTTGTGGAAGTTTTTGTCTTTGTGGTTGACAGTGTGCCTCTTGAGTCAATTGACTTTGTTGACTACTGTTTGTTGTATTCTTCTTGGGTCTTCCTTTTTTCTTTTGTGCCACATTTGTGCTTGTGGATGGAGGACGCTACATGAAACATATAAGAAAATTACATTAGTCACAAACATTATTTGTAAGATGAATTTTTCATAGAAATGTGAGAACACAATATGTTTAAGAAAATTACATCCTTGCATGTGGACTTGTTGTGGCCCTCTTGTCTACATATGCTGCATCTATTACATGGACCCGACCTACTCAACTTCTCAATTGTTGGGGCAGGCAACACAGTATGCTCTTGTCTGGCATTTTGTTGGGCAATCCCTATCTTTCTTCTCCGTGTTGCTTCCTCAATTCTTCTTCTTTTCACACTTGGTCTTTCAGGCAACTTGCACACTTGTGGGGGGTCCATAGGTTGGAAATTTCCTATGTCCCAAAATTTTTTTCCCCTAACGGGTTGAAACTTTGTCTCGTACGTAGCCAGGAATGTCATCTTGTGATAATACTGTGAGATGTGACTACTGGGTTCCCTTTTCTCATGATAGATTGCGCAAATCGCATGTTGACAGGGAATCCTAGTCAACTCCCACGCTCTACAAGTGCATAATCTCCTCCTCAAAAACACAGTATGTCTATCTGAGCCCTCAGTAATTTCATACCCATCATCCCCATTAAACACAACTTTGCAACCCGCAGCTAACTTTCTATTTGTCTCATATAAATCAACACACTTCGGGCTAAACTCATTCTTCCATAAGCTAGCAACTTTCTCACTATTAGCCCATTTTTGCATCATTTTCTCCCTTATCCCTTTCGAACATATGTATAACGGGAAGAAACCGATACTCATAAATCCAAGCATTCAAGCTTTCACTACAATTATTGTCCACAATCCACAACTTACACTTGGTAGAAAAATATGCTCTTACCCACTGTGTCGGATTATAAGACAGAACTGATTGTGCTGCTTCTTTGCTCAACGCTTCCATTTCTTTCAAGTTATCCACAAACTGCTCTTCGTATGTACTCCAAGACAAGAAAAGAATTTCCTCTGTAGTTCACGTCCCCTCCAACGTTTCGACCAATTTGCATAGATATGTCTGGCACATAGTCTATGCTCACACTTAGGCAATATCTCTTGTACTGCTACATGTAACCCTTGCACATCATTAAACAATAATTAAACATTGACGAAGGCAATAAAATGTAAAGTAGATTCCTAAAAATAGGACAAAGCAACACGGTGAGATTTAAAAAATTTATGGATACATATAGGACAAAAAGAGTTGGAATCGGACAAAGCAACACGGTGAGATTTAAAACCAAAAAAAAAAAATGTTGACTCACGTGTGTGTGTACTAGTGACAGTAGGAGTAGCTAGTGGTCCCTCACAAACAAACAAAAAGAACTGTGTTGCTTTATATTTCAATGGGTCTGTCGCTGATTTAACCAAGTTGTATATCCCACTAAACCACTAAGCTTATTATAATTGAGTTGGTTCATCAACAACAAGAACCATCACGTGCGTGTATATCCCACTAAAGAATAAAAGCTTATATGCTTGCCCAGGTTACTGCATGCATTTGACCGAGCTGCTTATTTGTTTACAACAAACCAAAAAATTATATTGCATTCACAACAAACAAATACAAGGCTGAAAAATTATATTGCAATAATAAAAAAAAAAGCACTACCTTTTGCATATATGACATTAGTGTAAATTTCTCTCCATCCTCAAGATCAAGTGATCGCCTCAACCATTGTAAAAACCACCTCCAATTGCATTTATTTTCTTATTAGGTCAATCCAAATGCTAGGGGATACAAACAGTCATTTGCATCAATGCCGGTTGCAGTGAGCAAGATCCCTTTGGCTTTACCTTTTAAAAAAGTGCCATCTAGCCCAATAAACGGCCTACAACCCGCCTTCCACCCAACCTTCATATTAAATGACAAAACACAAATATTATAACATGAGCAATTGAATTGAAAAATCAACAAATACAAGCTGCAAAATATTGTGACACCTTACCTTACAAGCATTGAAGCATACATACATCCTCCTAAACTCTCTTCTCCCGTTTTCCAGAGCTTCTTTGCTCACCTCAACACTAATATCTGAACCTGGGTTTGAAGTTCTCAACTCTTTACAATAAGCTTCTAAATTCTGAAATTCATCCTTATAGCTTCCTTCCATTTCATCCATTATCAATCTCTTTGCTCTCTTGCATTTATGGATGCTAACATGTACCTTGAACTCAATTTCAACATCCTTTTTCATCTCGCTAGCTTTATATTGTGGCATTTCTTGAATTTTCTTCTTGAAGTGGTTAGCTAACCACTTTGCACTGGCTCTTTTGTTTTTAAAAACCCTCAGGCATCTGTGCTCATAACATAGGGTCTTCACCTTCAATCCTGGCCTCGACTGCTCTTTTGAAGCGTACACAACAAAAGGACAGTCCTTTTGACATACAGCTTTGATTCTTGATGAGTCACTCTTTATCAATTTCATATTAACTCCTTCTGCTATTGCATATTGGTTAATAGCACTCTTAATTTCTTCAGCATTGCCAAATGTCATACCGACGCTGAAGAATGGTGCTTTCTGTGATTCAGATTGCCCAAATTCTTGTTCCATCGACACATCCTCCTCCCCTTCAGATTCAGTGTCTTCTTCCATGGACTCATCCTCCTCCCCTTCAGACTCATAGTCTTCTTCTTCGTACTCTTCCTCCTCCCCTTCATATTCATACTCAAATGAAGCATCTATTTCAGTATAAATTATAACCATATTTCAAAATCATAAATCTGTTTCTGCTAAACCAATTCATATAATAAACACTAATACTTCATGGGTTTAGGGTATTACTCAATGCACGGACGAATGGGTTCAAGTTACAAACAAGAGATTGAAACATTTATACGTGTGTCTGCAGAAAAATGACACTACAATAAACACATTACAGTTACAGGACTTACTCGTTTCACCATATCGGTTCTGCTTCGACTCTCGTCCACCCTCTGCGTCGAGCTCTGAATCGACCTCCAACTCATCTGAGTCGACCTCCGACTTGTTCGACCAGATGGCCACATCATCTCTGTCGAGTTCCACGTCATCCAACTCCTCTTCCACGTCGACAGCCTTCTCGCCCTCTATGTCAGTCGGACCCACCGCCAGATCATTCCCACCATGGTCCACATCGACTCCAACATTCTCATCTTCTCCCATTGTCCTCTACCTCACCTCAATCGATTAGCTCAGCCACCGGCGACAAATGGGAGTGAGGATTGAACCCTAACTTCGCTGCAAGGATTGCTCTGGATGGTGTTCTTTCTTTGTTTTTCAAGCTAAAGTGTTAAAACGGGCGGATGATAGCGTTGCTGGAAGGGAAAATAAATAATTTTTCAGACATAATAATAATACACATCAGATGACACATGTCTGCCACATGTCTGCCAGGTAGGATATCTCGGTCAAATTTTTGCTGAGTCAGCAGGCTAACGGTCAAAGATAACATTTCTATTAGCCTGGGATATGGACGCACCGTTTTAATTAGTTTGCGACACTAGATGCACCGAAAATTAGTTTAGGACACTGGACGCACCTGGGAAAATACTTCGGGGTGCTGGGTGCACCTTATCCCTTTAAACTAGTAACAAAATTCAATCAGTCAAAGGAAAATAACCACACACAAAAAGTTTGAGAATATCAAAAGAAAAAAGAAAGAAAGAAGGAACACCTAAAATGGGGTTTTTAAAATGAAGGCATTGTTTGGTTGGAAGGTTTTCGGAGGAAGGGAAGGGGAGGAGATGGGAAGGGAGGAAAGATTGTGTTTGGTTCAGAAAAAAAGAGGGGGGGAGAGGAAAATTTTTTGTCATTTAGTGCTCTCCTTCCCTCTTTTTGCTTCCTTCCAAAATTGAGATTTTCTGGAGGGAAGAGAAATATTATATTTCATCTTGACTAAATTACTCATGTTAGTTTTTTAATATTTCAAGTTTATCTTTTTCAGTAAAAACTTTTTTTAACTCTTTGCTTTTTTTTTACTCTTTTTTCTTTTCAGCCCCTACTATTCTTCTACTGATTTTTTTACTCCTCAGAGGTTCTTTTTTTCCTGCATGTTTTCTTTTCCTGATTTCATCATTTCTCATGTTCTCTGCTATTAATCTTCCATATCTTTTCATCTTGTCTAATCCTTCATCTCATTCATTTCAATTTCATTTTTTTACACAAAACTCTGTGTATTATCTAATTAAGTATGTAAGGTTGCACATATTATGTAATTAAAGATGGAATAGTTCACAACTTGTATCATAAATTTATTTATAATTTATATAATATGCTAAAGATTATAATTTTTTATTGACATTTATTTTGATATATGATTATTTATAATCTATTTGTTATGTCTCAAAGTATCTGGTTTTTTTATATTCACAAATTAGAAAACAATAATTATGATATAAATATCATAATAAAATAATAAAGAAATCTAAATAAAGAGGTAAGGATATATTTGTCGACTTATAATTAGCTTCCCTCCCTTCTCTTCTTAAACTAAACAAGAAAGCTCTCATCCGCTCTCTTTCCCTCCAACCAAACAAAACTCACACCCTCTCCCCTCACCTCCCCTCCCTCCCTTTCATTGAACCAAACAAAGCCTAATGTTCCGTTTGGATGGAAAGAAAAGTTGGGAGGAAAGAAAACAAAGAGAAGAGAAAACTGGAGAAAAAAATGTTCTTTTCCTTTCTGTTTGGGTGGACGAGAGAAAACAGAAAGAAAGGAAAATGAGCAAATATATAAATGACTAAAATATTCTTATTCTTATTTGAAAATATATCATGTTATAAATTAAATTAAATATCATAATAACCATGTGATTATATTGTAAAAACCAAATAATTTAGTAAAAAAATTCTTTTTAAAGGTGAAAATAAAAAATGGATAATTTTTTTAAATCAAACATAATAAAATGATATAAATAAATTACGTATTATTTAAGATTATTAATAAATAGTAAAAATTCAATACAACATAAAAGTTGAAAGAGATGAAGAAATTATATACATATATATATATATATATTAATTTATGCGAATTTCATGCATTGTATATTGAGTGTGAAAGAATAGAATTCATGTGAAGCTTTTGATTTTGCCACAATATAATGAGACAATTTTGTTGAATTATGAGGTAGTCATAAGTAAAATTAAAAAGAAAAACTTGTATCAGAGGTGAAATGTGATATTATTGAATTATATTTGAGGAGGGCATATGGAGAATATGAGTTTTCTTCTCGTTTTTTCTCCATATGTAAAGCGAAAAGTTGAAGAGAAAATAAAGTAGTTCATATATCCTATTTTTTCTCTTACTTTTCTCTCCTTTCACTTTTTTCCCTTCATCCAAATAGAGAAAAACTCATTTCTTCTCTTATTTTTCTCTTTTATTTTCTTTCCTCCCTCATTTTCTCCCCATTCAAACAGGGGTAAAGCATATTAACAAATACGTGATATTAATAGATGTTTTTTTTTTTAGAATCAGGAGTGAAGACAAGTCCAAATAGAATGGGAGAGATACAAAGTATTGGTTAAAGTATACATTTAATTTTTTGATTTTGAAGAGAGTTTCAATTTCATCTTTTAATTGTAAAAAATATATTTTTAGTTTTTTAATCCTAATATTATTAACAAAAAAATGATACCATTGAGATATTGAATGTTAATAAATTATTTTCAAATATTAACATGTTAAATTTAATTTTTATAATAATCATGATTATTAAAAAAAATTATTATTTAAGAAGAATATGTCCCCAAAAAAAAATCATCTTTGAGCTTGATTTGATCTTCGAATTCATTGTTGCGGAGTCGGGTCTTTTTTCTGGCTTAAGCGCTGGTTCTCCATCCCTCCCCCCCCGGTTGCGCTGTCAGTGTTGATCAATGGCTACCATCAATCTTTCTCCTACACACAGTGTCTCTTACCTTCGTTTATTCTCTTCGCTTCCTCAGAATACCTCTGCTTTGTCACTCTATTCGCCGGTCAAAGCCAAACCTTCATTATCTCTTCGCTATATTTCTCTGAAACCCTATAATACAGATACAGATAAACCTAGGGCGCGGCTGGTAGCTTCAGCTGTCAAGAATCTCGGGGAGACGGATCCAATAGTCCTCCTGCCGGAAAATGAGGCCGCTGCCTCCGAGCTGCCGTCTGGGACAGGCGTATACGCCATTTACGATAAAAATGATGAGCTTCAGTTCATTGGCTTATCTCGTAATATTGCTGCAAGCGTTTCTGCTCACCGGAAATCAGTTCCAGAGCTCGTTGGCGCCGTGAAGGTAAGGGTAAATATTTGATATATTGATGAAAAGGATTAATTTGCTAGCATCAATTGGTTATTAAATATCTTATACATAGGTGTTGTATGATTAAAATTAGAATATATCTTTGTACCATGGCAAAGGAAATAAGTATCAGCTTATCGTAGTACGATAGTGGAGGTAAAATTAAGGGAAAGAAAGTGACAGGTTTTGGAATGAAGAAGCCAATAAAGGAGAAAAGAAGTTGAAACTTAACGAGTGCTTAGGCAAAACAAGAATAGGAATGCATAAATAGTTGCTCTGCTCTCGTTTCTTGCTTCATTACAATAAAAGGAATAAAATGATAGCTGCGTATAACACACTTGAACTCCTTGTTTCATTCGTATGTTTTTCCACCTTTCTTATGATACGCGGTTAGCTTCACCCCTTCAATGTCATTTCTTACCCTTTCCATTTATATGAAAGCCTAGGACTTTATGGCTTATGCTTATATAGATTGGTGTACATTGCACAATGATAGTTTCATCACTGAATCTGGTGTCTACATCATGAAATTATAGATGGGCTGTCTGAAGTTTACCAAGCACCATACTTGAATGGATGAATTTTTGTTGAAAAGTTTCAACCTCTTTTGGGCTTTCCCCTGCTTGCGAAAAAGTAAAAACATTGAAATACAGTAAAAGCACAGATGCTCACAATGAGCAATAGAGTTGAGATGATTGATGAAGGATTTTTACCTTCCTTCTTTACTTTATGAAGATGCTGCAATTAAGGTCTCATTCTCCTTTTAATAATGCCTTCCTTGCAATGAATTCATTGTAACATTGCCTGCTGTAGGTTGGGGTAGTAGATGAACCTGACAGAGAAACTCTAACTCAAGCATGGAAATCATGGATGGAGGAACACATAAAAGCCAATGGAAAAGTTCCACCTGGTAATGAATCAGGAAATGCCACATGGATGAGGCAGCCACCAAAGAAGAAGGCGGATCTTCGGCTGACCCCTGGTCGCAATGTCCAGTTAACTGTCCCCCTTGAGGAACTCATTGACAAGTTGGTAAAGGAAAACAAGGTGGTTGCATTTATCAAGGGCTCTAGAAGTGCACCATTATGTGGATTCTCCCAGAGGGTGATTGGCATTCTTGAAAGTGAAGCAGTGGATTATGAGAGTGTTGATGTCCTGGATGAAGAGCATAACTGTGGATTGCGAGAGACGCTTAAGAAGTATAGCAATTGGCCTACGTTCCCGCAGATCTTTTTGAATGGTGAATTGGTTGGAGGTTGTGATATACTGACCTCCATGTATGAGAAGGGTGAAGTGGCTAGTTCATTCAAAAAGTAATTATGCAAGTTTCTCAGCATTGAGGCACTCTTTTAAATTGGTGCAACCAGTTCCAGGATTAGGTAGGCATGGGAGGACACTGAGGCCATGTATGGGGAGCTTAGAGGTAAATAAAGGCCTCTTGCTCAGTTGTACTAATATGTTATATACTAGTATGTTATCTTTCAGTAAAAGATTAATTATTCTTGCAGTCCTGGTTTCATGGTGAAAAATTGAAAATTGTTAGCTCTCTCGCACCTCTCTGGACTAATCTTTGGCTCCGATCCTACTCACAACCTCTATGTAATACTTGTTGAGCCTAGCTGATGATCGTCGACTGCAAGTCTTGGTAGTAACGGTTAAGTGGAGGAAAAAATGAATGTAAAACAATTAGTTAATCAAATGTTTAGCAGCTCCATTTCCCCCACCACCTGAAGGAATTGATGTGTTGGTCCTTGAAGAAAGGCATGCCATCTCAATATGATCCCACGAAAATTAACCATTTCATTCTCATATTTCTTAGAGATGACTGATATCGTCTAATACAAAACATGTTCTTGTAGCTACCTGACCGTTTTATGAATAAGCATAAATAGTATGGTTATTTCAAGTAATGTAGAATTATGTTGCGACATTTTTGGATGCGATAATGACTGTATCACCTATATCCAACAAGAAGAGTTATCCATCAACGGTCTTAGCGTGATAAAACAGAAAATAATAATAATAATAATAATAACATAATAATAATAACAACACCACTCCATATAATAGATCGGCATATAAAAATATACTCCTACGGTATCATATTGAGGACCGGATCTAGGATTGGAGTACTTAATTTTTTAAATTCCATTCAATACATTAAGGGTGGAAAGAGGAATGCGGCTATGTGTTTTTCTCTTAATTTTTGACGTGAGAATGTTAAGTGCGTGTTTGGAAACCATGTGAAAAATATTTTTATGTAGAATAAAATTTTTCTTGCATATTTATTCTATATAGCATAAAATGAAAATAACCTAAATAAACTAATTTAAACACCGTTTTAAGCATTAACAAAATGAAAGTGTTAACAAACGAAGCTGCATTGCATGTATAAGTTCTATTTGAAATAATTTATAAGTAGTAGCTTTTCAATCGTGATTTACAAAACGAGATAATATAGAGCCAGCGGGCTAAACACTCCAAAAAGAGGATGGGTTGGGTGGATAAAAATTGAGACCGTTTTAAAATGAATCTTTTGAGTCCGAAACTACCAAGACCAAACCCGCAATGGGCTAACCGTAGGGTGGGTGAGCCAGCCCGTTTTACCTTTTTTCCTCCTTTGAAATGCAACGTCTCTCCCCCCCCTCTCTCTCTTTTAATTTTCCGCTTCAAAAGGCAGCAATTCCCTCCTCATTCTTCAGTCATCTGTGATTCGCGCAAGCTCTCAGCCTCTGAGTCTATGCCCTCTCAACTCTCATCTTTTTTACTTTGTATTATAAATTTTATTTGTGGCAGAGTTAGCTGAGCAAAGAGATGGTGGTTTTACTTCTCAAACTCAACAAATAATTTACATTTTTATATCATGCTTCCAACTTTATCAATATTGAGTGATGGCTCATGATTGAGCATTTGACAATGATTTATGTAGTGATACATTATGTTTGTGACTTTGTGTTATTGTTGGTTTGGATTTATGTTTTAATTTGAGATGTTTGTTAAATCATTTAAGATGTACCACGTATGTTTAATATTTTGAGATATTTAAAACTTTGGATTTTATGTTTTATTTATGATAATTTTTATTTGTATGTGTTCATTTTAGGTATTTAGGAATTTGAGTAAATTATTAAAAAAAAAATAAAAAGAAAAAAAAAGCTTACAAAAATTGGTGGGTTACATCGGTCTGGCAAGTTAGGTTGGAAAAATTCCAGCCTGTTGAGGTCGGTCCTAAAAAGACCAACCCGTCAGGCCTCAGTTCGGTCACAGGCCAGCCCGTAACCTGCTAGGCTTGTATTACAAGCTCTAGATAAGTATATGAGAAGAGTTTTGTTTCGGTTTACATAAGATATGTTATAAGTGATTTTGAATACTATCCCAAACAGACTCAATCAACTGAACTAGCACTTTTTTTGGGTGTGTTTAATCTTGAATAAACTAAACTGCTTGTGTACATTAGTAAATGAAAGCGATTAGGGACCTATTTAGCATAGTGATAAAAAAACACTTATAAGCACGTTTTATGTAAGTTGAGGCAAAATTTTTCTTATATACTTATTTTGTATATTATGTAAATCACTATTAAAAAGTTCATGTAAGCTATTCTAAACAAGTTTTAAATTAACAACTACAAAACTCCGCAGGGTTCGATCAATTTATCTTTGATATTTTCTTGGGCAAGCATTTATCTTGATCCGATTATTGTCTTTCTCCGTGATCACGTGTGAATTTAGTTGACAAAGATTTTGTCCGTTTTTGAGCTTGAGGAATAGTTTCATAATGTCAGATCAAAAAAGGAGAAAAAAATTATGTAATGACAGTCAGTACTCTTTATTTATGACCATTTCGGCATTTCCCTCTAATTTTCTCTCGCATATCATCTGCACAAGAGTTGCTAAATTTAATCTTTTATTCATTTTCAGACACATCAGTTTTGATTCATGATCTTTCGTTTCCTTTTATTTATTCGGGGTCGATGACCGGTTGTTGTTTATCTTCGTCGACTTCCTTTCATTTCCTTGTCCCTCTACGTATCATTAACGAGAAAATATACATCAAAGTCTTGAACTTCAATGTTGTCCTGTCAAATCATCTGAGATCCTTCTCGTTTCGAGTCCATAAAGAATGGAGATTGAAGAAGAGTCTGCGAGTTCGAGTGAAAGATTCAAGCTTCATGACCAGTTGGAATTGCCTGAATTCCAGGACAATTCGTGATTAAGTCTCCCGAGTCTCCCGATCAAGGATTCTGGATCAGCCGCCATGACGGGACCATCAATCTGATTGATGGTAATGTGTTTTTTCTGTTGCTCAACTTTGTTGCTTCAAGTAATGAATGATGCCCGAGAAAAAGCTGGAAATGCTCTTCTAAATAGTTGATTTTATTTGTGAAGTGGGTTTCACTTTCCACCCATACTTGTACCTATTTATCATGGACGGTGTTTTTACTTTTCTTGTGATGAGTTATTCGTATCATTTGGCTTTGAGACATACTTCTGGTGAGTCCTAAGAGTGTCATGCTTTTTAGCTCATGGGGGTGTTGGTTGGTCCTTATTTGGGAACCAAAGTATGGTCACTTGGAATTTTGCTTCATTATACATTACATGTTGAGGTTTATTGCAGTCCCACCTATGTATGATTGGGAATAACAGAAACCATTTAAATTCATAATTTTATCTTCTTCATTGCCTTCTAAAATTTTTCTTTTCTTTTTAAATATAAATCTGCAGATGAGGCAAACCTTGAAGGTTCACGCAGGACTTCTACTTATGGTTTGGTGGGAAAATAACGATTACTGTAGGTAGATGCTTGCATGCTTTTTCTTGGGTTATTTGTATTCATCCTTTTTCTACATTCTACTTTGACCTAATTCATTGCCAAAACAGGACACTAGCTAGCATAGCTGGGCTAGCTAAAAACGTGATATGAACTAGATTTTT